CACAGTCGACCACATATCTGCCTTATGTAACAAGTTTATATCTTCGCATCTTAAAATTTCTAGCTATTCTTTTATGCCCTATTGGGTGAAACAGAACTAAATATGAAACAATCCTTAACTAGGCAAAGCCAGCTCGATAACCAAGTAAATCCTAAATGACTAAAAACCTCGAATAGATTTATTGAAGATACTCTAACAACCTCTAAATACTAAAATTTACAATATTGTAATAAATAATCAATGGACGTGTATGGACTGAATGTCATGCCGTAAAACGCCAACAAGAGAACAAACACCATATAGCAGAGATGAGAATGTTGCGTTGAATGAGTTGACGCATTATATAAATCGGATTAGAAATTGATGCATTAGGGAAAAAGTTGTAGTAACTTCCATTGTAGAAAAGATGGTAGAATCGTACCTTAGGTGGTTTCGACATGTGTGGAAACCATTAGAAGCCCGGGAAGAAGTGTACATCAAATGGAGGTAGGCCACTAGAGGAAGAGGGAGGCAATGAAAAACCATAGGTGAAAGTGAAACGAAGTTGTTGTTGTATGTATCATTTCATACAATAAAGTAACAACTTTACAGGCTTTGACAGTTGAAGAGCAGTATAATGGTCTGTTTGTTTATTCTCGACAAAAATAGGTCTATGTCTGGTGAATAGTTATTCTGCTGCTCTTTTTTCAGGCTGTTGAAGCTACTATGAATGTTGAGCTTGGTAATAAAGAACTCTCACAAGCCATTCAGAGGAATAGCAGTAGCAGGACATTTCTCTTACTGTTTCTATTTGTCCTCACTTTTTCCATTCTTTTTCTTGATTGGTACAGTTAAATGGTTTTGGTTTGTTGTTATCACATTGTATATCTTATTGGAGCACTCTCTGTCTCTTCCTTTCTATTTTGCTATGCTGATCAATAGGTATCCAAACATATTGAGGAAACAATGTATGAAGGGAAAATACTAGAGATTTGGAGATGTTAAAGATATTCTCTCCATTTTTATCTAGTATTTTCACCTTCTTTGAGATGAATATTTGAGGACTTCAACTTAAATGATAAACTGATTAAGAGACTGAGTTTTCTTTTACTAAAAGAATATCAATATTTTATACAATCTGTTTAAAAAAAAGAATTTTGATAATAATTATTATAGCATTATCTCCTGTAGTTAATTCAGTTGGTTTAGTCAGATGATTTATAAGTGAATGGTTCACATCCCTGTATGATGTATGCACTTTTCTGTCACATTCTCCTGTCTTTGGCCAACAAAATATAATTAACATTTCAAAAAATTCTTAAAAGCTTATTTATACGGATCTATTTTTTTTTTCTTGATGGATAGCAAGTAATGGTTAAAAAAACAACACATGCTTTTGATTTTTTTATGTTCTCTGTTTTGGTTGAAAAAATGACATCCTTTTGTCAAATCAAGCTTTTTTATGGACCAATATATTTGAATACTGAAGCCCACTACTATAAGTCATGTCATGTGTTTCTTATGGTTAGGCCCTTTATATCAGACTTGTGATGGAATTTTGGAGGCAACCAATCTGAAATTTTAGATTTGATTTCATTTCTTATTGTATAAATATAAAAAAGTTTTGTTTAGTAAAAAAGAGAAGAAAAATAAGCAAAACAGCCCCTCACCTCTCCTTAAAATATTCTTATTTTTTATTTGCAAGTACAAATCCACAATATTCATTGAGGAAGGTAATGCGTATCTTGGGTTTCGACAAACAACCCAATTCACGCGCGCGTGACTTCACTGCCTCAGTTTTTATTCCAACTTCCAATATGTTGTTATTCCAAGGAGCATTAATTGGGGTCCTTTTCTTCTTTTATGCGAGTGGGAGAGTGCAAGAGTGATGACGTGACGACATGACGTTACGTAACTTACATCATAAATCTCAATATATATCACAATAAGTCCTACCTAATGCCCCAAATACTGCTGCCTCCAATAACAATATTTTAAGTTTAGATACATCTTTTTTTAAAACAGCTAAAAATGCTATTTTATTTATTAACTTATTTTTTAATTTGGTCCTCCAATTTAATTCATTATTTGTTAATGTTTATAAATTTTACCTTTTTGTGGTATTTGTTCACAATACTATATATATTCAATTATTCCATGCCACATTGATCTGCAATCTGATTCACCATTTGATCTTATTATGGAAGTAGAAAATATGAGAAAGAAGAAGAAGAGGGTCATCAGAGAAAATGTGTTGCATGAAGAAGAAAAAGACAATAAGGAAGAGAAGAGTGACCATATATTGAAGAAATTCAAGGCAGATCAAGAAACTGCTTTTACCGGCGCCGGTGGTAGCAATAGTGTGGTGGTGCCCGCGGAAGAGGAGGTGGAAGAGTTTTTTGCAATATTGAGGAGGATGAAGGTGGCAGTTAAATACTTCCACAATAAAGGAAAAGTGGGTGGCAATCAGTGGAGGGAGGCACTGGAGCAGGTGGATGTCACGGTGGACCACGGCGGCACCGAGGTTGGTGGAGTTGTTGACGGTAAGAAGGGTGGGAAGGTCATAATTAATGAGGGGTTGGATTTGAATACTATGGCTCCTGAAGCATCCGAGAGCGGTGGCGCGTAGTTTTTTATAGTGAACTGCTGATCCACGCGCCGCCGTTTAAAGGAATATAAAGTTTCAGGTTTGGATAATTTTCTTCCGATTAATTAATTATCTAGAAAGTTTTTCGGTAATATTATCCCAATATCCATATTCTTAGGTAACAATGCTGGATTACCTAAAATTGAGTCAAATTTTAATGAACTGTTATTAGTTTAAGAGTTTACTATATATTTGCATTTTGGTCTAACTTTTTTATAAGGATAATAAATCCTTCATTATTTATTTGTATTATTTTTTTTTAAAATACTTATGATTAACATTAGAATCTTACATGATACACTCACAATATAAATTTTCAGTATATATATATATATTAAACAACTAAATTTAACTAAACATGGAAATAACAAGTTAACGAATATAATTTTGAATGATTTGATACTTAGGATTTGCTCTTGGATATTTCTCATATATAGATTAAGTTTTATCACCAATTTTCTAAAAATCTACGTTAACTGAATTTCAAAATATTATGGAGAAACTGTTGTTTAGTTAAACTCTTATATGAACAATTTTGCTATTGGGTTCTAATAAACATTTAAACCCACGTAGGCTCCTCATACCCAGTCCAATTTTGTTAGCTATTGGGTTCTTATTAGTTCACCAATGATAATATTATGGTCTTCAAAATTCAAAGAGCCTTTACATATATTCATCTTATTTTCATTGGAGGTTCAATATTATATTTAGACTTCAAAATGAGTTGCACCTCAAAATACGTACAATTACGTTTTGAACTTGTCAAGCAAAAATATGATCTTGAAATTTCAAGACCAATTATGAGCTCAAGTTAGAGCGGTGAATTGTAATTTTCTCATCAGAGGGGTTGGTAGTCTTTAATTTTTTATGCCAATTTTTGTTCAAGTGTGACCCATTCAAATCAAATGATTAAACCATACAAGTTAATAATAGTTTAATATCTATATATTTTAATTTTAATTTTTTACATTATCATTATATTATTGATTATCCATATTTTTCATACATTACTTTTATTTAATAGTTAATAATAATTTAAGCAACAAATGATGGAGAGATCCTTTAACATGATAACCATTAAAGTTTCATGGTTTTTTTGCCCTTTGGTTTATTTATATGATAAAGACTCAAAAACAAATATATTATCTTTTAAATGATGTTTTCTAAAGGGCAAGGACAAATTACTCTTGTTTAAGTTTCATAAAATAAAAAACAGATAATCAGTTATTTATTATTTGATAAAATCTACTGTATAGATTAAAAGGTGTAAATAACAATTTTATCATTGTAGTAAATGGATCACTCCCCAATCAATTTTATTAATACTGACTTTCTATTGTTTTTCAAAAGATATTCAAAATGGTTAAATTTATTTTAATTTTTTAGATAAAAAATTTAATGGATGGTTGAAAAGCTGATTGGACTAAAACCGACTTCTAAAAGAAGTTTTTTTTTAAAAATGATTTTTTTTTGTTAATTCTCAGATACTGCTCACCATGTCTACTTATTTGATTTTTATGCAAAAGCCCCAAACCTTGACTATCAATTGAGGTGTTTTTTTTGTTGGAAAAGTGTATAATGTCCTATGAATTAGCTTTTACTTGTAAATATTAAAGAATTTGTTGCACTCACACTAATAATAGTAGCAATGCAGTTATTCATTAGTGATATCGGAACGAATCTGCCATAAAAATACAAGATTGATTGAGATAAAAAAAATAAGGAAACAAATTAAAAATGATTAATACTTTATATACATATAAATAAAATTAACAATTGATATTACAAAAATGCAAGACTTAAAAAAAAAATTAGTTTAACATTATCTTTTTTAAAATTCCAATTTTACAAATAATTAAAGTTTAAGATGATCTTGACTCACTCTCATCACCCTAATTCTCTTTTTTCCTACTTTTTGTTTGGTCACCAGGTTTTTAAATTTTGATAGCATAATAGATGTAGTTAGCTTAATTTTCTTACATATACTATTTTTAGTAGGTTATTAGGATTGTATTATTGGAATCAATTCTCCACTTTAATCTAACTTGTTAGTTGTGTATTATAGTGCTTGGTTACATCAGAAAGTTCAGCAGTCACTATAGATATTTGATTAGTGTGAAAGATATTTCCAAAATATCTAAATCCGCATAAGCAGTATATATATATATATTAATTTATCAAAATATGTAATATAAATTATATTTGGTTTAGTGGTTGTTATTCTTGGAGTTGAGTTGTTGGTCTTTGTTTCGAATGTCAAGTTTGGACTTGTTTTTTATTTTGAATGCTTCCAAAAATACAAATTAGCCTTTGCTTGGATTCGAACTCGGGCTTGAAAAGAAGTTAGTTGCCACTAGGCTACACGGCCAAACTTTCTTTTACTCAACAGGTATTATATATATACGTTATATAATGCGTATAAATTAAAATTGAAACAGTGCTTCAGCCGAGATTCGAACAGGTGTGCATTGGTTCCCAAGCAGCATGCCTACCGGTTTGGCTATGTGACTTTTCCGTTTCATTATGAAACGTTAAAGTATATACCTATTCGGATCAGCCAGTGTAAAATCCAAATGTGTTCTAATCCACCAAGTGGTACGATTTTCTCTATAAATAGAGACCTTCAAAGCCATAATCATCATCCGAAAATTCAAGCCTAGAAATCTTCCTTTACTTCTCTAATGCATGAGAGAATTGTGGGAAACATAAATTTGTAAATACTTTTGAGAGATACGCTTCTTGTGCTTGTGCAAATTACATCAAGGTTTCCAAAGTATCCTGAAGGGGATTCGCGGTTCATCCCATTTGCATCCAATATACTTAGATTGGTGGGGGCGAATCCAACCTAAAGGTTAGTGTGTTAACACAGACTTTGGAGGTTTCGATGTGCATTTCCATCAACATCTTCTTTGTCCAAGTGGTGTAGCATCTTCCCCAACAATCAAGATTTTCCAACAATTACATGGGTAACTGTTTCTGTTTCTGTGAGAGAATTATTTTGTTGCCTTTTTGGAGATGGAATTTGTTCCATTCCCTTAGCTTGCATAACTTCTCTGTTAATACGCATAAGGTGCAAAGTGTTTTTTAAAACCAAACCACATGCATCATAACGTATTTTACTATGCTTATGTTATTGTTGGTTACTAAGTCTTACATCGTCTACCTTATTGTCCTAGAAATAGTTTAAATACTTGTTGGTTACTTCTCTCATCGCCAATTGGTTTTGAGATAAAACTTTAACATAATATCAGAGCCAAAACCCAATTTCTTTCTGGTTGTCATAAGCCAAAAATATGACAACTTATAAGGGTAACCCTTCGTCTTCTGGTCCGGCAAGCTTATGTGAAAGAATTATAGGTTACTCCTCTTATTGCCAATATTATATAAGATAAGTTTGACTTAATCATAAGGTTGTTATATATTTAGTAACCACAAGGTCACACTTTCAAATCTTAGAAGCAGTCTTATTACTTACAACTAAGATTGTGTATATCTATCCTCCACTGATGACAGACTCACTAAGTCGGAGTATCGTATACTGAGTCATCGTTTCTTACATCCGAAGTTAAGAAATGGTTGGTGAATTCAAAATGAAAATGAGTAGGGGCTAACCGGCCAAGAGATAATATTAATCTAATAATGAAGAGTACTATTTGGAAGCAGCGTAACCTATAAAACAAAGAAGAGAATCTTGGACTCACCATAATCCACGTGGACATTATTATTGCATATGGGTGTTATGCAAGTGGAAGGAAGAAGAATCCAAAATGCGAAAGTGTATGTGTTGTAATTTTGACATGAAGCAAAACGAAAGCGATGGAGAGAAATCAAGAAGGTGGAAGGGCTAAGAAATGTGTTGTGCTTTGACTTGTAGCTGCCAATGCTATATGCAAATCCAATCAAATTATTATCACAAATCTCAACTAGTAAACCTAATATAAAAAATGATTTGACACCGCTTTGTTTTTATCCAAAGAATTTTCATGCCTGACGGCTAAATATTTAAATTAATCTATGATGAAGAAGTTAGGGCGTGAGACCTCTTAATCATTTGTTCCATGTATGCATGAATTTAGGTTTCAAACTCCAAATCTCATACTTAATTTATCTAACTCATTTACTTTTATTACCTGATTATTGAAGTGAGAGAAGTTCTTTTTTTTCCTTCTTATTTCTAGTATAAAATTATTATTTCATTTTATATAAAAGGATATAACGTGTGTTATTTCTTTCTTTTGTTTTTTCTAATATTGTTTCTCTAATACTAGAGAGAACCCACACTCATTATAGAAATAGATATATGAGTAAGATTTAAAATAATAAATGAAGATTAGAGTAAATTTCCAAATAATTATTAAATATCTTATATACATATAATTTACAAAGGATATACTTTTAGAAAATTGGCACTTGGGAGCACAAACTTAAAGATTTGTAAATAGTGGAGTAAAGAATACATAATAATTTAATAAATATATGTGATAGTAATTATTAGCCCAAAACATTTAGACTTAGATATTTGACCCTAAACTTATTCGATCATTAAATTACCATATTTAATGAGGGCATGGATCTGCTGTCTTAAAGAGTCTATTTCTATGTTCATATTTAATAGTATTGCATAAAATAATATAAAATATTTGTTTATGTTTTATAAAAAAATCTAATTAAATGATAGATTTTAATTGATCTGAGACACCAACAAGAATATCATATGGAACACGAGATCACCTTCCACTTAACGAACATGAGGCTTCAAAGAATTCACACTTAATCTAATTGATGATTGGTTCCAGTAATCTAGTGGCAATTGTAAACATTATTAGCTCATTTGGAAGAACAAGGATTCTTTCTTCAAGAGGAGAGTACTCGTTTTTTTATCTTTTTTTCAATGGCAAAAAAAAATTATTTCATTATAATTTAAAAGATAAATATATTATAGAAAATTGTATTTTTTTTTCTTTTGTAATACTTACTTATCTAATAGTGAAGAAATCTTTACTCCATTTGAAGCTCCTATATGTTGTTTATTTGGTCTATTCCCATGCCTCATCTAACCAAATACGTGTTTAAAAATTGAGAATAATATATCTTATTAAGTCATTCTAGAATTAATTTATTAATAAATGCACATCTAGATCGACTGTTCAATAATATTGACTACTTCCTACTCTTGTTACACATTGGATTTCCACGTCGACCCCACAAGTTTGTCCCTTGATTAAGTTCAGTTGCCAAACTACGACTAAACTATCAAAAAAGTGAGTTATATCATTCGACACATTATTCTCATTAGAAAAACAACTTCTTTTTACAAGCAAACAATTTTAGCACAATAGTAACCCAACTAACCCCACGTAAGTACATGCATCAAGACACAGTGACGAGTAAGATAGCGAACAAATACTGCTTAATTTTCAAACCTTTGATACACGAGTATATCAGTTAAACTAGGGGTGTTCATTGCTCATGCCACCGTTATATGAAAAAGAAAATTACAGTTTTATCTGTTTTATAAGGGAATACATGAGAACAAAACTTAGTTCAGATGTCTGATTAATTGAGGTGATATAACCTCGTTATGTTATAGATGTTCTTAGTTCGTAAAAAATATACTTGAAAAAACAGAAATGGAATAAAATTAACTACCATTTGGAAGACTGAAGTCAGCCTCTAAAAACTGGACAAGGCCAGAGGGAGGTTGAAGCCTAGAGATAAATGAAGCCTTCTCTAAAAAAACCCAATGTGACCTAATATATTAGTACAGATATTGCTCAAATTGCAGTTTGAGAAGGAAACTTTCAACCTAGTAAAAACAAAGTAATTAATTACATTAAATTACATTTATCTCTCATAAGTTTTAATAAAGTTACATAAATTACCTCCCACTTTTTAAATTTATATATACAAATTACTTATAATTATATACATACATTACATTGACTCTCTCTCTAAAATAAAAAAGTTATATTATTTGGACTTCTTCCCAATATAACATATTTTTATTTAACTTAATTTCATTTATCACTATTTTTTGTTTAAGAAATTACACTTATATATCCTATAATATAATCAATATAATATATGTATATAATTTGTTGGATGACTTTAAGAAGAAATAAGATGAGATGAGAGAATGAGGAGAGCTTCCATTTTTATATAGTTGACAAAAGAAGTAGAGAACATATAAAAATTACATTAGTCTCACCTTAATTTTCTTCTCCTAACCTCAGCAAAAAAAAGTGAGAGGAGAGTTTGGATTTGTAAAATAACAATCTTATCCTCACATCCACAAAATTACTACAATCACATAAAAATGTAAAACCGCATTATCTTCTATCTTTCATGTTTCTAAAAATAGTATTTAATGTGTAGTTAGTAATTTAATTAAATTTCAAAACAATTTAAAAATGTCTATTTATTAATTTTAACAATAAAATCAATTTTAAGTTATAATTTAGTATCAAAGGTAATATGATAAGAATATTATTGTATATATAGTAATATACCATTTCTTTCCTCTTTTCTTTTTCTCCCTTTTTCTTATATCAAAATATCAAATATCTTTTAAATTTTCTAGGGAGCAAATATTATGAGATGGTAGTGTAATTAATAATCAGGAAGGGCTCTCGCAACTGAATTTCTCTTTAGGTTAAGGGGTTGGTACTACTGTTAAAGTAAAATTTATTGGGATGGAACAAGGTCTTCTCATGACTTGGGAGAAGGGTTTCTATTCTATTGCACTCTAGTATGACATTTTAGAGATTTTGCAAGTAATAAATGGCCTCTAGGGGTCAAAATTTAGAAGCGTTTGGAAGTGGTGAAACAAATATGAGAGTTGTTTGGTCGAAGTTGGATTGTAAAAATAAATTTTATTATAATGGAGGCTAACTTTTTGTCCGATTTTCACGTGTTGGCACCACAATAATCCTAAATATGAATATGTCTTCTTAGCTTTGTTTTTTTATGATTACCACTATAACAACTCTTACAATCCATTTTTTTCTCATTAGTATATTTTGTCATGTTCTAATGTTATGGAAGTGACTTATTCCTTTGTGTTCCATAGGTAAAAGTATAATCTTATTTTAAATAAAAATAATATAAATGATAATATATTGTTTATTTATATCATTTTGTTTTCCATTAACGAAGATGAGTCTCACACCTTCCGATTACCAATAGCAGGGGACCGGCAAGTGCGGTCCTGGACGATACGTGGCAGAGGTAGCATGATGAGATGGCTTGCTGCATGCATCGAAGGCGCACAATAGCATACCTCATACGAAATTTGCAGTTTGGCTGTCATCGGGAATGGGGCCTTTGAAAGGTGCCGCTTATGGAAGCGGTCCCTATGTATATTATTCAATGAATATAAAGTTGTTATTGAAAAACACCAAGTTTAGAGTCTGCAATGTATTGAATATAAAGAGGAAAACTTGTTCCACATAATAGTTATCATTTTTATGAAAATCCAATGGTTTGAATTAGTTAGTAAATTTAAACTATTGGATTTTCATATAATTAATGGTTAAGATGTGATGTGAGTTTAAAAAACTTACTATTAAAGTAAATGATTATCTCATCTTAAATATAACATTTGCAAATCTTCATTGTCTATCATTAATTATTTAACTAATGCTCATGCACTTAGAAAATTATCATTCATTTTCAATATTACTATTATTATTGGGAGGACTCCTCATGTGGTTTTTATTGCCAAGCCTACATGAGTATAGTTGTATACCTATATTTGAGAAGAGATGAAACTAGATATTTGAATTCATTTTTGGTTAATTTCATATGCTATAACTTTACAGCAGGTCAACTAATTTTTTTATTTTAAAATGTAAGTTCGTTTTTTATATTTTAATTTATCATGAAATTATATGGATAACACATGAGGTATGATAAATGATTTAAGTGCAATATGCTTCTACTCTTACTATAAATATTTATTCATTATAAATATATTATTTATTTTTAAAAGTAAACAATAATTAAATATAAATTATGAATAATACAGTAAAACTTTATGTATATATTTTATCATTTCAAAGAATTGGATGCGGAGGCACCAGAAGTTGTTGAAGAGATTAAATAGTAGTAGCAGCCAGTGGGGCCTGAGAGTAATGATAGTGGTACCTCTGTGTGGCCACTTGAGGAACACATTCAACATATCAATTTTTTTCCGGGTGAAGTATATTAAAGATAGACTATAATATTCATGTATCCATATCATAAACATTTATATATGATTAGTGTATTATCTACTATTTATTTGAATTATTTCAAAAAAATCAATGATAGTGAAATATTAATTATAAATGATACATTAACAACGTATAAAACTCATATAACTTGAATGCCTATTTTTTCAATGTAAAGAGATATTATTTAAATAATGCAAATTGAGTTGGTTAATTTTAAATAATCACGTACTTTTCAATGTAAAATTTTAATGCTACTTATCAATATTACTTATTTTATTGTTAAGCATATTTGGATACTTGTTAATTGTTATTAAATATATAAAATAATTTTAACTAACATTCATCAATTCTTTTATAATGTTGTTTTTAAAAAAATATAGTTAACTGTTATTCTCAATATTTAAGATAATATTAATTACTTGTTATCAATTATAATCTTACACCCGTTATGGAGAAAAAAAATTGAAGTAAAGTACTAAAAGAAATTGAGAAGAATATAATAATAAAAATATAACAATTATCGGTACCGCGATTATGAAAGAACGAACAAAGTACGTTAGTTATTAAATGTGATTTCTCGAACTCATGGGACTCAACGAGGTGCTATGAACAAGGCACCTAACATGTTCGTATGTAACAATGACTCTGCCTTGGAAATAGCTATTTTCAATTCGCAATGTTATCTTTGCTCTTGGTATTTGGATGAGTTTTAAAGATATACGAAAATAGGTAGATAATATAAATAATTTGAGAGGGGCTCAACTTCGAATAATTGAGATATGTTCACTAATTCAAATCATTTGTTTATCTTTCTTAAATGAGTAAGCACTGTAATATATGTATATAATTAGGGATGATTTGAATAAGTTAAAAAAAATAGATGTTTTGTGTAATTTTACTAAAATTCAATGCATATCAATACAATTAGCTCTTATAATTATTCATTCATTTTGTAACGAAAGAAAAATAATGAATAAAATTGACTTTTATATTAATTGGACATGTTTATATAATATACTATATTTTGTTTAATTTAATTACATTTGTCACTTTTTTTTATTTAAAAAATCACATTTATTTATCATTCAATAAGAGTTATTTTAATATAAATATAAAGGAGAGAAAAGGATAATTTGTTTATTGTTATCGTAATATATGCAAATATAATTTAATCATAATTTTATATTGGGTAAAATATACCTCGGCCTATGTGGTTTGACCTAAAAATAATCTGTTTCTTGTGATTTTTACCTCATCGTTCTATCCCTCGAAACTTTTACTTTAACCTTCGAAATTCAAATGCTACCCTTGTGACCCTGGTGGAGATCTCCTTATCTAGCCAGGCCTTGACAGTACTTATTTGAGTTTTAAATTCATATTGTAGCAAAATGAAAGTGCCAAGTTAGACAAAAGAACAAAAGGTAATGCAAAGAAAGTTATAATATCTATATACTATCACTATGAGATGTTTTGAAATCACCAAATCATTAATCCGTTTTTAAACATACACAAATCATTTCTAAATAGTCTTTAATTATATAGATACATTAAAGTCACTATCCTTCAAGAAAAAATAAGTGTTGATGAATGTAATTAAGTGAAATAAAATATGGTATATTGTAAAAAAAATCTAAATAATATAAGAGTTAATTTATATCCATTATTTTGTGTTCGTTACAAATTGCATCAATAATTTTAAAGAGATATTTAAATTACTCTTATACTATATTGTAATTAACCAAAATAATGAATGAACATTAACTCTTATACTATGTGGATTTGTCTTCCCAATATACCATATTTTCTTTAAGTTAATTACATTTGTCACTATTTTTTGTCTAAGAAATTACACCTATCTCTCATTGAATAATTAGTCTTTTATACCATTTTCCATTTTTATCCATATACCACAAATATAAATTTGCCAAACATAAAAAAAACATTACCCCGTTGAAAAAGTTAACATTAGATTTTGAATATCACACAGTTTGTGGAATTTGCTAACATAAACATTATTTATTCTCTACCATTTCACCTAACTCTAATATTTGTTAAGGGTTCAATCTTAATGTGTTACTCCCCACTATTGTCTTCAATTGCACTTCACCCTCCATTACTGTTTTTCTTGTCTCCTCTATTCTCCATTGAAATTGATGGCCTTTGCTTTGATTACAATAGCCCACCATGTCAATAAATCGTTGGCATCCAACTTGTTGTCTTGTACCAAACATTGTCATCCTCTTCATGTTATTTGGTTGCGTCTTCTTCATTCTCGTCTTTTTGTAGATTATAATTTGAGTATCAAAGTGCTTGGTGGTTGAGAAAATAACTTAATCATCTTTTTTTGAGTTAATTTTGAAGGAAAATAAATGAATGTTTCAAAGCTATTACAATTAGGAAGCCATTAGTGTTTGATAGGAGATTGATGTTACCCTTCTAAGATTCTTTAACCCATTTATAGGTGCAGATTAGAAACCATTACAATGGGAAGTCTCTGTCTTGGTTCAATTTTTTTATTTTTGAAGTTAAATATTTTAAAAAACTATCTGATCTCATGTTAGCAGTACTCTTAAAGGAATTCATTTCTAGTAATGTGGTCAAAACTTTTTCATAAATAATATTCTCTTACTTTTTGAACAAGAAATTTATTTTTCTGGGTGTATAACTGTCATTTCCAATAATTGTCGCTCACATGCTTAATCTTTTTTGGTCATCGTGGATATTTAAAGAAGTCTTATATCATTAGACCATTACTTTGATAACGAGATTAGTTTAAGAATTGGATGATGTGCCGTCAAATTCCTATTGATGGTGGAGAAAGGGACATGAAGATGGGTATTGAAAAGCTTCACTCACCTCAAATCCTAAAATTAATTTATTTGGGAGAACTTTGTATAAATTGTACATTGCCATGAAGAGAGGGTTAGATTATCATGTTGGGATGGATAATCCAATATATAATAAATAAATTATTAACCTTAATACCACATAATTTGTTTTAAAATATTGAAACCTAATGCACAATTGGGAAAACCACTTAATTTATTGAGAACATATTCTTTCATGTGAGTTTTTCAAATGATAAGATTATTGAAATATAAACAGGACTAGCAAAACAAGGTTGTACAAAATTTAAGAGGACCATTATACAAATCCATTCCTGGTCTCGATACCTGAAAAACATATTCAATAGGATCAACCTTTTTTATTTGACTTCAAATGAAGTTACCCAAAGTTCTTAAATATTAAGTTTAATTTTTTAAGTGAAAAACATGTGTATGCACAATGTGAGAATTTTATATTGTCTCACTGTATCATCTATCATTCAAATTTAATTATTATTAATATTTTTAAAAATAATATAAATAAATAGTGAATAATATATTATACAAATCTTTAGATTGACAACTCATAAATATTCAATATTTTTTTGCACGTCCAATATGCACCTCATGGTAAATTAAACTGAGCTAACAAAATACTTTATGTCCACTTTATAGCATGAGTATATCTAATTCATACGAAGAGGTTGATAAAGGTAAATAAAAGTGATATAACTTTCAAAATCATAAAAAATATCTTCACATTCTAAACTATCCTTCGTTTATTTTACGGGGATAGCTAGAATTTTACTAAAATATGAAAATGTTAATGAATATAAATTGCAATTATAATGATATATTTGCTATAAGTTATTTAATATTACCTAAATATTTTGAAATTATTTATATTTGAGAAGAAAATATATATTTTACTACGACCATTTGATAAATCTAGCGCGTGGAGGAGAAAGTAAATAAAAGATTTTGTAGTTAGGCTCACAATCTATGTTTTATCAAAATGATGTCAACAAAGAAGAAAAAAGGGACAAAAAAATAAATGGGCATGAAGGTGAGATTCAAAGGGAAAGCTAGACAATTGGGGATGGAGATCACATGTCCCCCTCTATGTCTCATTTGGTGTATCAAGCCAATCAGAAAATTTCATTCAAATAAAAATATAAATAACAAAATTACAAATTAATATTTTAATATTATTTTATAAATTTTAATTAGTTTGGAATATGGGAAGAATAAAATCTTCAAACAGGCCGACAATCGGTGGTTACAGCTATAAGATTAGGTGTGAAAACTTGTAACCTTCGTTTTAATGTGTTTAATAAAAAATAAAAAATATCAACAAATTAAAATATTGGTAGTGTAATCTACTAGATCCTTATAAAGAATACAACAATTCATATGAATAACATTTATTCCTAAATATGTTCATACA